TCGGAAACCCAAGGAGGGGTCGCTATGAGTCGGGGCCGACTTGACGGCACATAACAACAACAACAACAAATCACTACGGAAGTAGGATTGCCCAACCCATAACTTCCATTAGTTCATATAAATAAAATTGAGGATACCTTGCTTTGTAAGGGAATATTGGAAAGAGAAAGCCTTTGGTTAATAATTGATGAACACTCTCAAAGTAGTTTGGGGGCTTTGTTTATTTGTTTTTGCATTTTAATACTTATAAAATACTTTAAAAAGAAAAAAAATTATTATATAAGTCTAAAAACTGGAAGATCAAATGCAGCTTCACCTTTTAATTCAAAATAGTGATTTTGATAAACTCATTGGAAAGAAACTAGGTCATATCTTTTGTCATCACTTCACTTGTGTTAACATTTCTAAGATTCCTATTCCTTCAGAGCCAGAACCATCAGACCTTTTCTAGAGTCATGAGACAACTTTTCTTTTTAATTTAATTTAACTTTTATTGTGATTTGGATGAAAGTTTACATAGCAAATTCATTTTCCATAGAGCAGTTCATGCACATTTTGTCTCATGACATTGACTACAGTTCCCTACAAAGTAATAGCTCTCTTCTCACTTCCCCCCCATAGTTACTTCTTCACTGTGTCCTTCCCTCCTATGTACTCCTCTGTCCCTTCCCCCCCGCAAGCCAGTCTCCCTGTGCAAAAACTGCCCTTCTGTTCTCCCATGAATGATCGCTCCAAGTAGTGTATCTACCTGATGTAAGTGTTCTCAGAGATCTCATCTCAGGCTCTGTCAGACCAGCAAACCTGGTCTTTTTTTATGAGTCTGGGTTTTGGAGACAACTTTTCTGATGTATGGTAGCAAAGTACTTAAGGTTAGAAATACCGAGGGCTAGAGAATTGAGGATTCTTTTTTTCTTTTATCCACAAACATTTATTGGACTTTGAAGTGAAATGTGATTGTTGTTGTTGTTGTTGTTATGTGCCGTCGAGTCAGCCCTGACTCATAGCGACCCCTCCTTGGGTTTCCGAGGCAGTATCACTACGGAAGTAGGATTGCCCAACCTTCCTTCCGGGGAGTGGCTGGTGGGTTTGAACCGCCAGCCTTCTGGTTAGCAGTCAAGTGCCTTAGCCACTATTAGTTCCACCATTTAAATGGTATTGTGAATGCCAGAACTCTGAGCTTTAGTTTTCTCATGTTTCTCTTACTATGGTTATGTAACAAACCACTCCTAAATCAGTAGCATTTATTCTGCTCACAAATTTCTATTCTGAGGATTATTCAGTGGGACAGCTCACCTTTGCTCCATACAGCATTCTTCACTAGGGTGGCTTGAAAGCTTGGGGCTGGAATTATCTGAATCAGCTTTCTGCTATAAAAGATGAGCCCATAGCTCACTTATCACTAGAATTTTCTGCATTGGAAAAAGTAGTCTGTATCTGCCCTGACAGTACAGGGCAGATACAAGACACCTTTCGGTTATCAGCCAATGCTTAACCACTGCGCCACCAGGGCTCCTCCTCAAATATGTATTCTTCAGTTGTTCATTTAAAGTGAAGAATGAGGTAATCAAAACCCGATTGGGAGATTTTTGTACTGGGCAGGGTTTATGGATTGGAAGATGTTACTTGGGGGGTAGGGAAGCCCTTGCTACTGGAATATGTTCTCTGCCCTGAGGCTGAACATTTTCCTAAAGATTTTTGTTTGTTTTGATTAGCTAGTTTTTTTGGGAGTGGGTGGATAATGGGTAGATAGCTTGTTCTTATCTTTTTGTTCTACTGTGGGCCTAGCCCAGCTGACCTGATAGAAACTTGAACTTTAAAACTCTTTTTTAGCCCTATTCTCTTCATTTGGAGAACAGATTGACTGACTATTGGAAAATCACATGCCAAGAATTGTTAACTGGAGTTCTTGGACCCCTCAAGGTTTTAAGGATTCCTTTGAATCCTTAGAATTATATTAAAAATGATATAAACACAGTTTACTGGAGGAAAGTTCCATAACTTTTCATAGGTTCTCAAAGTGACTGATAGACCTAAAAACGTTAAGAATTGTTAGGGCTTTGCTTTCCATTTCATCAGAATTGCATTTTCATTTCCATTTCATCAGAATTATCATCAGAATTCCAGTTTCACATTCAGCAACGTGCAAGACACATTGGTATTTTAGTTGACTACAATATTCCCTCCCCTTAAGGAACTTACAAAAGAAGAGACAGGTATAGAAATGACTAATATAAGGTGAAGTCCACGTGTAGAGCTGCCGTTTGTGTTGTTGAAAAAAGGTGTTTGCAACGAACAAGTCGTTGGTCTTGCAAAATTCTACCATGCGAGTTATAGCATTATTTCTGTCGCCAAGGCAAAATTTTCCAACTACCAGTGATTCTTCTTTGTTTCCAACTTTTGCATTCCAGTCACCAGTGATAATTAACACATCCTGATTGCATGTT